ATAGCAAATGAAGATAAACAACCAATGGGAAGAAGGCAGTGTGTCTTAAGGTCATTCCGCAGTATGTGCGATAGTACTCAAACCAACAGAATGAACATGAAAACATGTGAATCAAGCAGCGACACGCAGGACGGCATAACGCAAACGGGGTAAGACTTTAATGCCAAGAATATGTTTGGGCGGAAGAGAAAATCCGCAAATAATAGTTTATTGCCACTGTGGCCACACTTAGAATTAAAACTATGGCAGTAGTTGTGTGATATACGTTAGTGGAGAATCGGTAGACACCCCATCTGCGCGACGGTTGTCCTTTTCGTACACAACCACGCCGGACTCTGCAGGAGGTCTGGAGTAAAGAGACCCAAGGACGCAGGCAAACCGACAAAACGGAGACCCGCGCCAATCCGCCTAGAATGGTAATGAGAAGCATGATGAATCATAATCCGCCTAGGATAAATTTTTCGTCCTTTACTAAAGCTTTACGTGTGGGGGGTGCAATACGATGAATCGATATAGGCATTTTTGCAGCGCCTCGTTCTCGGGGCGGTTAAAGTGAATAAGAAAGTCACCCTGACAGGGCTTCTGCGCGTGCACTCCCAGACCTATTGAGAACGTAATCACAGCTACTGAAATCGTAGTGCCTTAAACTGGAAGTGCAGGAAAGGATCGCTAACTGGCAGGGCTACCAACTACCATCCCGCCCATTTTCCAACATCAGGCCTAGTTGACGTGCTCTAAAATTATCGACATTTATAAAACTGACTATCTACCGAAGATGTTCGAAAACATAAGCTTTCTCAGGACGTTAGGTTTAAGCTTCCTATTTGCCTAAGAAACAGATGCCAATGCTATACCTTCCTATGCAGCATTACAGCAAATAGTGGTCCCGTCTACACAGACGAATATTATTACGTATACTGTCACTCTCTCAAAACCTTACTTTTTACTCGACGTTCATAGTACTAAAACTGTTTTGTAGCAGTCCTCTGCCAGGGTTAGGGGTACAATTTTATTTGACATTTAGTTTGCATCGCAATAATTGAAGTTGAATTAGCTATCTGACTTTAAATGGACCTTTGCTTCCTGTGGCATCGTGAGTCCTTAAAAGATAAAGAGCAGTAAGTTAATGAATAAGCCCAAATAAAGCCAGCTAAAAGTTGATAGTCACGGCAAATGAATGACACGACAAAACATATCCTACTGGAACACGTTGTCCAGCTAACGAAGCTGGATAAATTATATGTTGGTCCAACATCCTAAGCACTGTTCAGTCTTCTGTGTAATCGTGTCTTAATCTCTGAGGATTTTCTCCCCTATCTCGTGGCGGATTTTCATGGCACTATAGTGTTGTCCCTTTTGATTTATGAATGAAAATGTAAACTTAAACACAAAGATTTTGCCTTTTTTACATGCTAAAGGGCAGATTTGTTGAGAGCCAACTTTTTATTACCTATGTCGAACACATTTCAGGATGTTTCTCCACCAAGCAGCACTTATAACTGCGTACACACTATATTCCTTTAGATTTTTCAGCAAATTCATACCAACGCTAAACTTCCAACGAGTCTGCGTTTCTCTACTAAGAATAAGCACATTCCTGAATTCTGTGTCAAGAAGGCCTCTACGTTGCGCGTCCCAAGAATGCACGCGTATTTTGTAGACCAATCAGAAGGGCCAGAAATACAAAGACAGGTGGAGACCTCCCTTGCAGTTCACATTAACTTTGATAGGTGAGCTCTTTCCTGGAGCGCTTTAAAGTATTCTTACCCAGTGTTCTTTCTATATGCATGCAAAGATATATATATATTTGAAGGCAACTACGTTCTTTGGGAAAATGGAAAACGTTTACTAGGCAAATTTTCGACGCTGGATTCCCAGGTCGTCATCAGACATGAGTAAATCTGCAAAAAACAATTTACATCCCAAGCGTGCGTCAGTAAGCGGCGGCCGTGTGCGTCAATCTGTATTGGTTGGCTGTCGTCATTTCCACTCCTCACTGAGATTTTTATACAGAGCAACTAACTCAATGCGCTTACTGATGCAGACTCATCGGAGTGCATGGCCAGAAGAAATTCCCGCCTATTTTGCAGGGGTAAATGCCGACGATGCGAGTTTCGTCCCATGCGAATGTGGACTCAGTATATATATACATAAGAAGAAGAGGCGATCTCGGGAACCATAGGTTTAGTAGCCTGACGTTTTAAAAACAAACAGGCTTCCGAGTGCGGAACACCTGGGACTGCAAGTCGCGACCTGTTAGTTAGAAGTCCAACGCCTCTAACCACTGGGCCACAGGCTCGTTGTCCTATCGGCTTCGATTGAAATATATAATGGTAAATATGGGCACGCACTGATCGTTCTTACGGAACGCCATTGTTCCGTTGTGCTTTACGGCCTTTCTCTTGAGCCTAACCAGCAGCCGCACAGCGGCGTCGTGTGCCTTACTCAGAGGACGCAAAACTGATCGACAAGGCCAAATAACCAGGCTACGCATCCCATACACGTTATAAGGCGTACCAGGCTACTGTAAAGGCGCAGGAATTTCGCATGCGTGAGGGTGCCATAAACGACCCGTATGAGGGATTTGTCTAATACCTAAGTATTGACACGTAAGTTATACTAGTTATGATGATTCGGAAGGCCTGTAACAATTAAACAAAATGATCAGTATTTTTAATGAAAACAAATAGACTAAGACAGAACTGGACATCAAGTCTTGGAAAAAAATCAAATGCTCAATGCTATGAGATGAGCAACTAAAATGAATGTTATAAAACGCTTTACACAATGCGCTCGTTATTGTATTTGGGCGAATAAAGTGTCCCAGTAACGTGTCCAAGCTACGTGAAGATTAACTTTAATTTCCAGAGGGCAACGGTATAGAGAAGGACCCCACTTAACAACCAGTAGGCTGTGGAACGTGCCATACGTAATTTATGATGAAGCGAGTTTTATGGGTTGGGCATCAGGCTAGACAGTAAGCTGACAAAATGAAAGAAAGCACACAAATCGCCTGAATTTATGCCGAAAGTCTTATCCTACGCTATTGTACGACAACAAAAATGAGAGTAGTAATTAAACAATAAACAATAAGTAAATTTTATAAAATAACGGATTTTGAATGAAGGTGTGAGCCCATGGGAAGTAATCGTTGTTTGCAGTGTAATTTCTGCAACAGCCTGCAAATGTATGCCACGATAAAACCCCACATGACACGAGCCACAGTATACTGACAGTTAATTGGGTCCTTCTCTATACCGTTGCCTTCCAGAACTCTGGTAGCGATTTCCAACAGAAATTGTCTTGTGTGCTGATAAGGATGGTTTTAAAAGCACAACTATCGAGCAGTTTTAGTATGGCACGAATTATCGATGCATAGACTGCATACGCTTTAAAAAACATGACTCTTAGAAGTAATCCGATGGCGGACGCACATCTGCTGACTGAGATTTCAACTTCCCCTGATATAAATTTTAGCACATTCCCATAAATCTCTTGGAACATAACTGGTTCGCCTTGTGGAGATAAAGCCTTTTTTATTCGCCTGAATGTCACCTTTCCCATTACCAGTATCTCTCGACTGGAAGAACTATCAACGCGCTGGAGTGGTCCAATCAGCGTCGCCGTCTGTGCTTCCGACAGGCAGGCTTTTCGCCTGCCTTTTCTGTTGAGTTGCTCAAACGTCCTTTCTAAACGGAAGAACATCCTATATCACATTGTCTACACGTATAATGTACGTCTGTGTAGACCTTTAATCGCTGTATTTGAGGGCACAATTTAATTCCATCTACGAATTGGAAACCTAAATTATAAAAATTGTGACTCGTTTTAGAGGGATCAGTCTTCGAAACCTACTGTAGACAGTGATCGCTCTACTACTGACTCACTTGCGACCCCTGCAACTAAATGTACTTATGACATTAGCTGAAATTTAGGGATATCAGCTCAATTTTCATGACCTTGAAACAAGACATGGATTCTTCTAATATTTACGGGTTGCATGCCGCAAAACGCAATCAGGCAGTGTTTTTGAGTTTACTCCTAGTCGTCAATTCCACACCCAGTGTAACGTTTATCCAGCACAATGCGGTTTTTAAATGAAAATCCATTTTTCTCGACAATTTAAAAATCTGGCAAAGCCCCATTCTAATAACCATTTAAAACAACGGATGCCACAGCAATGAACACTTAAAGCAACGTTTTAATGTCACGCACTTCGTTCATTTTCATAGTGTCGCGTCGCCCTGGGCAGCCTTTACTAGCACTTTTCGTCTGCCGAAATGTGAAAACTCGGGTGAATATATCGTCAACTGCATTTGAACAATACTAACGGATACGATGCAGGAGCAGTAGGCGAGTCAGTTGAAAGTCGTAGCTTAGCCTACAGCAGTGACAGTACTGACCGTTTGACCAGCACAAGGAGAGGCTTTCTGCGAAACCGCAAGTACTGCGTTCGACTGTTTTAGGAGCAAAACGCCAAAGCTCGGAGAAGATGAACGACAGTACAGAGCGCTATGTATTCTGTGCACAGAAAGGATACAGTATGAGCAGCCAGAGCAGGTTGGCAGCCGGGCACGAGGCCAGTGGTCGGTGCTCGATGTGACAGGCGTCCAAGCGGCTGGAGTGAATGCACGCCTGTGTCAGCCCTAGCTACGATTGGCCGGTTGGCCTAGTTGTGATTGGACAGCCATGATGACAGCATAGCATAGCGGCTTCGGATTTCACCGATTGGCTGGAAAATATCGGACAAAAGATTGCCGTATGTGTGTACGAGTATGTGGTTGCAAAATAGACAGCAGTGCAGAAGAAATAGGTTGGACAGAAGTTCTCGAACCAAAATGACCATCCGGCAGGTGCTGCGCATACCCTATGCGACCGCAAAGTTTGTAATTTAGGTAATCCAAACTACAGCCTGACCAAGATCAGGAACAAGTAACCGAAGAAACAAATGTGTTCCGCATAGAAGACTCGTGATTCATATTAGAAAGTAACTTTTCAATATGAGAGCCATTGTTAACAATGACTTCTTCGATTCTCAGTCTGAACTTGGCGTACGTGTTCCTGATGTACTCCGGTGACATCATATTCCACTCTCTGGCAATGGAGACCTTCGAGGCATGAATGCTGTTCTGATGCTTGTTGCCTGCCTTCCTTTCGACATAAGTCCAACTTGCTGCTGCGTACTCGGCACTTCGCTTTGTCCGCAACTACACCTGATCCGGTAAACGAAACTCGGACAAAGCAATTATGTCGGAGAAACTGGGAGATTACTCCGCAAGTGAATTGCCGAGCACGCAGCAGCAGTGAGGCGGGGAGACGCTAGCTCTCAGCTGGTGGCACACTCGACGGGACCCGGCCATATTTTCAAATGTCAAGAGGCCGAAATCCTCGCAAGGGGTGACAACCGCGTGGACCGCGAGCTGCTCGAGTCATGGTTCTCAGGCCCGCAATCCATCAACAAGCACAATGACCTCCCGGTACCATATTCCGTGCTGAGATTTTCCCTGAGCAGGGGAATCAGTCACGCGGGGAGGGCGCGGGTGAGCAATTATCACAGTGACAGTGAGTCAATTTGCCGATTAATCGTCACGCCAGCATCCAGCACGGATGACGAAATCACGACAATTAACGACTCGGACTCGGACCGACAAGCCACCACCGCACCAATTAAGGCCCCAGCGGTGATTGCGAGAACTGTTAATGGCAGTGCGCATACGGTCCCACGGCAGCCACGTGCTATAAATACTGCACGCCTTGTGCCACCATCACCTTTATCTGCGAATGTCTCTGATGATGGATTTGAGTGAGAATCCGAAATGTCAGGCCAATAAATTCCTTGTTCCAGTGATCGCATCTTCATCTTCTGATAAGTCCAAATGCTGTGGTTGAGGAAATTTAAGACTGATGAGCATGGTGGCCACAAATCCTTGGGTCAGAAATTAAGCATGTGGTCAACCAGAAACTTCTGTGACGTGAGTGGAGGCGCGCCATCTTGTAGTTGGAATCTATCCCAGGCTTGAAATGCTTCTGAAGGACATTCAGGTACACTTCTGTTTTTACTTTGACTCCTGCCTTCATGAACACCTGGGGCGTGACTTTGCCGTCTGCGGCTACCAAGCCAAAGATGAATGATGCTTTTTCTGAAGCATGTACTTAGCATTCTCACGCACCCCGTTCATCTTCAGGGGGCTTATGTGGCGATCGTTTCGCCTGTTGGACACCGAATCGACCGTGAAGAGTTTTTCGTCGGAGTAGAACATCGTGTATAACCCTTTACTGAGGAACCTTAAGATTCTCTTACTTCTTTCCAGTCTCTTCTCTTTTACAGCCTCAGTAGCGGGATGCTTCCTGGTCCTGGTCCTGGGTTTAGGCTTCAGGTTCTTTTCAGCATATTCCTGACAGCCTATTCCAGCACCTCGAGCTCCAATGCTATCTTTCTCATGCTCCGAACTGGGTTGCAACGAATACGATCCCAAACAGCCCTTATAAGACATGGACTACGAACGCTTTTTTGGTTTTCTACTGCTATGGTTCCTGTCGATGCGACCGAGCTCCTTATATCGGTCGATAATGGTTTAAACTCTAGAACTGGTCATTTCCAACTTGGCAGCGATGCCCTTGGGCGAGAGGCCATTGAGACTGAGCTTAATAATTGCCTCATTATTTTTCTCATGGCTAAATATTTGACACCTTTCTCCAAGAATCTGTTATTGTATGACATATGTGTGGTATTCTAAAGAAAAAAAAACATAGATTTAAATCCAGATATTTTCAAAAAGTAGCGACAGAACCATTACGAACTTTTTCGGTCGCATGCTGTATCAGATAATTTCTGCAAACGCAGTTAACCATCTGTGACTTGGTATCTACACATGTTTCTGTTTCTGTCACAGCACTGATTTTGAATTTATTCTGCACAGGATGAATGCCCCACCTCATTTGCGCACAATGTCGCCGTCGCATTCTCACCAACAAGCCATGTACTCATTCTGGACGACTGGGATCACGAAGTTGGCAGACGGATGCTTCCTGCCGTCAGAAACGTCGTGAGTTTGAGTAGAATATCACTGCTCCCTTTAAATACAACGGTAACATTGAACATTAAGTAGTTTTCCATCACCGCTCCGAAGTCTAGTATAGGCATTCATTTCCGAACGCACTGCTGCGTACTACTTTGTTTACGAGTTCTATATTGCTTCCTTTATGCAGATCGCACCCGCTGCACAAATGTCGTAAGTTTTTGACTGATTACTAACTTGATCTTAGGATGAATTACAAAAACTCCACAGCCCTCATTTTTGGACGACAAGGTCCTTTCAACGGAACCAATAGCAACGATACTCGGTCGGAAGGTGGACGTTTTAGTCCTGATTGCCAATCAAAGGATACGATCTGTCAGGTTAGTTTTAGTGAAGACCTACACACCGCGCTAATGCATTCCGTAAACACGTCAAGTTGTTAATTTTCCCAGGTGGACATATAGCAGGAAATAGTTTCGGTCCAGCCCCCGAAACTCCTCCACCCCCATTTAGAGCAAATTAATCCTCCTTCTTTTGAATATTCCCGTCCAGTTCCGACTGCATAAACGTGCGTTTGCTGTGATGTTACCTACTGAAATTTCTCTGGTTCCTCTGGAGGTTTCTGCTGACAGTTTCTTCGACTTCCTTCTGTGGAACCTTCTCAATGCACACTCGGATGCCCTCACTGTGGTGCCAATTACAATTAACTCGAGTGAAGGTGCTCGCGGAGGCCTCTTGTTTTGTATTGTGTCCGCATGTCTTTCTACAGTTTTTTTAAATTGTGCAATGTAAAATAATAGAGGGTGGGCTTCCTCCAGTTCTCGCACATATATAGAAAGGCACGAATGTGAAGCAGAATGCTGGTCTTCTTCGTCGAGATGAGAGTAGTGCTCGCTGCATCTGCAACAAAAGAACAACTTTCGGTAAGATGTGGTTTGGTAGCCCCACCTGATGGACACAATGCTGTTGGGGTTGGGGTCAAGGGTTAGCGTCACGGGTAATAGTTAGGGGTTATGGTTAGGGATTAGGAGTTATGGTTAGGGGATAGGGTTAAGACTTAGGGTTTAGGGCTTAAACGTTAAGGTTAGGGGTTAGGGTAAGGGGTTAGCGCAACTACCTTTCAACCACTCAAAGTACAACCGCGCATTCTCAATAGATTTTCTTTTGCACCCAACTTCTTGCCCTCGTCGCCTGTGCGTTCCCCGACCCCACCTGTAAAAACCCCTATTACCACCGGTCCCGTATTAGAAGTGATTGGGGTTTTGAAGAAGGAGACACGGTCGCTGGCACAAGAGCTTTATTCGCCTGACGCTTCGGATTCCTGCTTGAATCCATCATCAGAGAGAAGGCAGATACAGATGTTTCATGCACAAGGGGCTGCAGTGTTTATAGGATGCAGTCGCCATGCTACCGCATAGCTATGAACATTCACGGCTCCCCCTTCATCCGGGATCGTCGCACTCAGTGTGCCAATTGCTTGATGGCCGACATTCGCGTCGTTAGTGTGATTGGGGTTTGTCTACTTCAGGTGGGGCTACATAACACATCCGACTCAAATTTCGAATAACTGCTGTCTGCATTGCTATGGTATAACTGCATATTTTAGAGTTGCGAAAATTCCCAACTAGCAGTTCAGAAGACCATTTGGCGAGCCTACGCGTGCTTTCGATAAATTCTCGTCAGGCCGGTACATTTATCTGGGAACGAAGTACAAAGTAAACCGTGTGAGCCGTAGGAGAAATCGACCGCGGTTTGTCTTTTCGAGTACATATGTGGATCCCTTGTCAACCAACCACTAGGAAACAGGTATTCCGACAACCACACTCAGGGAGCTAGGACTAAAAATGCTCATAAAATATGCAGTTCCTTTTTGACGACCAAATATGTACACAAATAGACGGAGTTGCTATACGATCGCCTGTTGATCCCCTCCCAGTCGACGTCTTCATGGGCGGGCTAGAGAAGTTCCAGTTAAATGACCAAATCAATAAGCTAAGGCACCACGGTCTCTACCCCGACGACATTTTTCAAGCATCCACCACAGAAACCGACACTGTCGCCCTCTTAATCGCGGTAAATCAGGCACATCCTTTGATCAAATTCACGGTAAATATGCAAACGGCCTGCTCTCTCTCTCTCTCTCTCTTTCCTAGATGTCCTTCTAAACATCCCAAGGAGCGTCTATCGAAAGAAAACCGGCCATGGAAAATGCACGGACTTCGACAGTTTTGTACCCCTCCAACTTAAACGAAATCTAGTCCGGTGTTTGGCGCAACAGGCTGGTAACATTTGTTCTGCAGATAGCATCGAGGAGAAACTAAGAGTGATCGAGGACTTGCTTCGCGGAAACTGGTATCCGAACAGAACAGCCTGCAAGACCCACTACACTGATTGACGAAAAGAAAACTTTGTTCCCCAAAGTCCCTCTTCAAGGGGACGCTGCGGGTAAACTCCTAAGAAGACGCCTTGAGCAAACTGTCTCGCGAACCTTACTAGCCGCAAGAGTTCGGATATCATTCTCTTCTAACCTTATTTTAGGCGCAGAAGGTGAAGGTGCTGAATCTTAACAATAATAGCTACCAGATCAGCCATCAACGCAGTTGTATAAGGACGCTCTGTTGGAGTGTTGGGACGCAGTACAGTGGGGTGGATGACAAGATCGCCGAACTACAATACCTTCGACGGGTGGCCAAAGTCAGTGGCTACCCGCGCAACGTCGGCCACCCGGCAGAAGTCCCAGTCGTACGGATTCCAAATTTTAACGAGCGCATCAAAAACGTTTCGGAAGCTGTCGACCGCCTTGTCGCACCACGTGGGGTTGGAGTTGCACACAAACCGGAGACAACTATCAGATGTCTGGCTAATGAGACCGAAAGGCCCACTGCCGCGGCAAGAAACGTCTGGGGCGATTATCAGATCTGGTTCAGTTGCAGACAAATCAACTACGTCGGAGAAACCGGAGGACTGCTCCAAATGCGAATGGCCAAACACGTGGCAACAATGCGGAGAAATGACGCCAGCTCTCAAGTTGAGGCTCATTCGACGAGGCCCGACCACACATTCGAATCCGACGAGGCCAAAATCCTTGTAAGAGGTGACAATCGCGTGAGCTGCAAGCTCCTGGATTCATGGTGCACTGGCCCCAGTCAATTAACGAGTGAAATGGCCTTCTCCCTCTGAGTTTGGTGCTGGGACTTAGCCTACGCGGAGTAATTAATCATGCGGGGGCGCACAGTGAACACTGGTCCCAACGCCAGGGTCGGTAGGTCAGGTGGTCGAGCCATCATCACACCAACATCCAACGCACGTGATGAAAATGCAGCAATTAACGGCGCGAATGTCGGCCATCAAACAGTCATCCCACCAAGTGCTACGATCCCTGATGAATACTCATAGGTATTAGGTGGCATGGCGACTGCATCCTATAAATACTGCTGACCCTTGTGCATGAAGTACCAGTATTCACTATTGGCTCTGATGACTGTTTTGAGCAGGAATCCGAAACGTTAGTCGAGTAACGCCGTTGTTACAGGGCTACCTACAGCGCCGCGTTGTTGAGACGTTTGTATGAAATGGTCAGTGCCTTTAGCCTAATCGTGAAAGGATTAATGGTCAAAGCGCACAGATCGCGAGACTGCCTGTCAATTCAATCCATATATTGTTTAGGGATACCCCGGTTATGATCCAAAAACTGTTTGTGTCCAACTACTTTACTGTCAAATAGTTAACTTAAAAGTCACGCATTTTTTCTGTCCGTACGCAGTGGTGTAAGGGGGAACATGCCCTCAGTCAACCAAATCCCGATTCGGTTTGTTTAGTACGTTTGCACTTTGTGGGGAAAATATGGGCATCGCATGACGGGAATACAAAAAATCTCAGTAATGACAGTTTGGCGGACCATAGACTAACTGTCATCGGATCTGGTTGGTTCATCAATAGCCTCAGACAACTAAAGCTGATCCACCAACCCCTCATCCGGCGGAAAGAAGCTTGAGGACTCCACCGCGTACCTTCCCCCCTGCCGCCCCGATTTCATATGTAAGAAAACCCGTTTTGACATGACTGTCACCCTCCTATAAATACTGTGAGGCGCGAGACCACACTCACCTCCGACGATGGAAGCTTGTATGTTTTTGAAACGTCAGGAGAGTAAAACTATGGTTCTCGAGATCGCCTATTCTTCTCAATTATGTCCGGGGACGCGCATCTTCGCTCCTATTAGCAATATTTGTGTATATACATATTCTATATATACATATATATCAGGTGGTATCGACAAAAACAGGGGAGACCGGAATGGCCATTTCTGGATTATTAGCCGTCGTCAGCCAGTCATACCCAACCCCAAGTGTGGATCACTTCAGATTCGAACCCGGGATCTTTGGTCATGGAGTTTGACGCTCTACCGATGAGCCACGGGCCCGTTGTCCTGTCGGTTGTGAGCGGGAATATTAATTATAATAGTGGGCGCTCACCAATCATGTTAGCGGTTTCCCTTCGTCAAGATTTCACGTACTGCTAAATGTGACGACACTGTAACTTAATCTTCCAAAGAAAAACATCCTCACAATCATGCCCTAAAGCGTTCCGGAATCGTTCTTTGGAAGTTCCGTATATCTACAGATCATTAGCTTACCTTGGTGAGCAGGCTCCGATTAGGCAGTTAGAATCAAGAACATACAACCTGTGTCTCTGCCGATATCCTCCTGACATATAAATAGTGAGCATATGAAACGGTATATGCAAAGAGCCGAAGGCTAATTCTATGTCCAAAATTGTCTTCCCCTGACGTTCTAAACCCCGATTCGAGCAGACTTTCGAAAATAGGGGAAAACTCACGGCTCAGTGAGCGTCTAAATATTCTCTTGGAGCGATTTCCAGTCATGTTACCGAACCGGTAGTAGATCAGAATGCCTCTTGGATTCTGTGGTTCCCGCATTTAGGGTGACTTCCGGTAATAAGGCTGGAAAATCAATCTTTCACTAACCTATCAGAAACTGAAGGAACAAATCAACTGAGCGGATAGAAGAAATCCCCCTGCAGAAGTGTTTTAACTTTTACAAAGCCCTATTTCCTCATCCGTCTATAATAACATCCCGAAGTGGGAGCAATCTGATAATCGCTTTCCCCTCTTTTATCGTACATATATAAATGGATTATTGACAGAAATAGCAACGATAGGGTGAAGGGCCACATGTAAATAATGGTAGAATGCGAGTCATGTCATACGAAAATAGTGCCAAATAGAAGCCAATATGCCTTCTGTTATGCTCTCCCAGTTTTGAAACTTCCGCCTGTTAATCTCCTGAGAAATTAAGACTCTGACTTGGAGTAGGTGCCTCGGGAAAAGGACCCATGAACCAAACCCATTCACGGCACACAGTCGGCAAAACCTGAGCCGTCAGTGTAATCAATCATGCGTCACGTACATACAACTGACATTCTGTTGGCAGATGCGAGTATTTAGCCGTCGGTCCGATACTGGTCAGCCCACATATTCATATCGTGTCTCGGACCGATCTTTAAAGAGCCTGTCCTGTAAAACTTACCTCATGTCCACGAGGAAGTTAAGAAGCCTATTAGCCTTTATATTGCTGACGTCAGTTGATAGGTATCTGTGATAAAAACTGGCAAGGTGATGACTTGAAGACAGATACCCAAGTGATCAAGGCGACGCTTCGTCCAAAACGCCGTGACTTCCGCGAACAGATGGGCGACAAATGAGGGTGGTGGAATAAGAGTAGTGTCCGCAGTGTTAGTGTTGGTGGTGGTGGTGTTGATGATGATGATGATGGGTTCGAGCGAGAAGCCGAAACGTCAAGTGAATAAAGCTCCTGTTCCAGCGATCGCCTGCACTTATTGCCAGATTAATGATTTAACAGATATGATTAATTGACTTGAACTATTTATGGAGAACTCGGCGGCCACGTTGGGATTCGAATTCACGCTAACAAGGCCAAAGCTTGGGTCAAAAGACATATTTAAACGCAAACAAAATGGACGCGGAAGAGCATTCAGGTCAGCGAGTCAGACAGTTGACAGGGGTCCAAACACTTCGAGAGTGTAACAATAGGCAAGCATTTGCCGATCAGGTTCATGTAAGTTGTAACCCCTCGTCCTAATACCAGATGCTTCTCGCCTAGGAACTTGGGCCTCCCGTAACGTCCTTTGGAGCCTTACCTATCTACCGGACTATCATTGCGGATTAATTTTGGGAGTCATTCAGTCCTCCTCAGGAGAGACATCAAGGAGGATTAGAGCGTTGTCGGTTAGCCAACCTGGATCCCATTCCCTCCCCCCCTCCCCGCACTCCATCAATGAGATAGGATTAAATGTCAGACTTTGTGGCCCCGGGGGCGTGGGCACGTTAACGTCTCATTAGGGAAACGGTGCCTCGGGTCAACATACTCCCGCCTCTATGCCGGAAGACGCCCACCCGCAGATGGCTTGACGAGGCAATTTCAAGGGAGGAAGCTAGAAACACATCGACTTCAGAGTTAGCGAAGCCTCGATGCCAGCCAGCCTATTCAAAGTACCTATCAGCAGACAGTAAAGAGTGCGGTAGATGTTGTGCAAGTCTACTCGGTAAGATGCGATTATGTAGCCGCACCTAATAGACACAATACTGGTTGGAGTTAGGGGCAGATTTTGCGTATACTATTTATCAGCCACCCAAAAGTGCAACCGCGCATTCTCAATAGCTTTTCTCTTGCATAAAATTCCTTAACCTAGTCGCCTGTGCGTTCCCCGGCCCCACCTGTAAAAACCCCTATCACCACCAGTCCTGTATTACAGGCGGCTGGGGTTTCTCCACCTCAGGTGACCGTCTACTCCCACTGTAACTAATTAACGCACAAGTCACCGTGCCTTCCCTCGGTGCCTTGCTGTGGAGCGCACGGTAGACATCGTCGGGTACGACGGTCACACTGTCTTGCTGAAGTAAATTCAGTGGCAGGGCGCTTGGATGTTTCACTAACACGTAAAGACATGACAGGCAATCCGTGCAACCCGTTCACCGAGAGCAAGACCTGCCGGTAGCTACATGTTCAGCCTATACATTACGCGTGCGCATTAAGGTCACTCCACTGGGTCTCACACGATTTGAGGTTGGGGTTGCACACAGGCACACGTTTCGGATTCTCACTCACACAGGCCGGAAGCAACCATCAAGCGTCAGGTCATGAGGTCAAAAGACCCATTACCACGACAGGAAACGTGGGGAGTCGTTTATCGGATCTGGTGCAGTTGCGGACAGAGCAACTACGTCGGAGGAACTGGGAGATCACTCTGAATACGAATTGCCGAGCACGCAGCAGTAGTGAGGCGGGGAGACATCAGCTCTCAGGTGGCGGCTTATTCGACGGGATCCGGTCATATTTTCAAGTTTCAAGAGGCCGGAATCCTCGCAAGTGATGGTGACATCCACGTGAGTCGTGAGCTGCTCGATTCATGGTTCTCAGGCTCGAAATCCGTCAACAAGCGCAACGAACTCCCGTTACCGTATTCTGTGCTGAGATTTTCCCTGGGCAGAGGATTCAGTCATATGGGGAAGGCGCGGAAGAGAAATTATCTCAGTGACGTTGAGCCAATTTGCTGAGCAATCCTCACACCAGCATCCAACACGGATGATGAAATCGCGGCCATTAACGATTCGGACGCGGACTGACAAGCCATCACCGCATTAATTACGGCTCCAGCGGTGATTGCGAGTGCTGTTAATTACAGTGCGCATATGGTCCAAAGGCAGCCGCGTGCCATAAACACTGCACTCCTTTTGTCCCCACTACCCTTATCTGCGAATGTCTCTGATGATGGTTCGAGTGAGAATCCGAGACGTCAGGCCAATATATTTCTTCTTATAGTGATCGCATCTTCGTCCTCTGAACTCGCCTGTTCGCTTCTATCACCAACAGGTCTGTCGCGAGAGACAGCCGGCGTAGGATAAGCCACATGAGCGCGCCAGTAAATCGCTAAAACCGAGCGTTTCAGGCGCCAGCCTTGACAGGTCGGTTGGGTGGGAGGTAGAGCTGGTCCGTAGGTGAAACACAGTGCAGCTCTAAGTTAGCCATCAAGCGTAGCTCACTTCCGCCCGCGTGTGACGATGTCTCCCAAGGACGGCTCTTTAGCCTATTCGCTAGTCTGCGCCCATGCATGAGCTTTCACAGAAACTCAAAGGGTGG